TATTTTGATGATATATAATATATTATATCTTTTTGTTTTCATCATCATTTATTTGAGGATTTAAAATTGTTAATTATAGACACTGGAGAAATCAACAATTGGATGGAGAAAGAGGAAAAGTAGACACTCAAAATTAAAGTAAATCATGTTTTGGTTTAGTAAGATAAATTCATTATTAAACAAATTATTGAGGAATAGTCAAATATTGAGGGTTTTTTTTTTAATTTCTAATAATATCATTTATACAACCTTATTTTATTCGGAAACCATGATGTGATTAGAAATTTCAATATTGATTTTTGACTATTATGGATTATAGAATATATAAGGAATCAACCTTATTTTTTACTATTAATTTCTAATATATCATTTAGATAACCTTATTTACTTCGAAAATCAATATTGAAATTTCATTAATATGTATTTTGATTTTGACTTTTGGTTAAAAGTTCTTTTTCGTCTTGTCTTTAGTAATTTATGAAGTTATGAATTAAATGAATGTTTAAGGAATTCTTCAGAAACAATCAAAGACTTAAGTTTTTGATTTCTGATAGTACTTTTTATGTAACCTTATTATGGGTTATTTCAGATATTGTAGTGCAATCAGAAATTTCAGTTTTGACCTTTGATTGTTATAGAAATATTAAACTTAAATACTGATATTTATTTTGAGACGACTTAATTTAAGCAATAAGCTGTTGAAGTGGCATCAGTCATGGAAAATATTTTATACATGTTATGTACATGTAACTTAAGATATGTTAGTATTGATTGGCCCAAAGGAAGATTAATAGTTGACATATATAATTGCATGTATAACTTAGGTAATAAGAATGTGATAATTATTCGGTTTGATGTGTGAATAATAAATCGATCCAAAAGAAGATTTTTGCTTAGCTTGTTCTTATTATCAGTGTTTGGTTACCGCATCAGATATCACTTAAGGTGAATATTTTGTCTAAAGATGAAGTATTAATGGAGTATTTGATATCTTGTGATAAGGTTTAAGTGTGTTCAAATTTATTATATTTTGATTATCTTTTAATTTAATTAAATATAAATTAAGATAAATTGATTGATTGACAAAATTTTTATGATTTTATTTATATTGTTAATGCAATATATGTATATATTAAATTCGATTTTTTTTTCAGTTCTGATTGTTGGTTAATAGAATATATATATATACATTGAAACAAATTAATTCATATTATGACTATGTTTGATATTTTGATAGATTAGTTGAAACAAAATACCACCAAAGTGACCTCTTTTGTGTAGACTAATTTATTTGAAATATCAAGATGATTATGTGTTTCTTGTGATTCATGCATTTATTAATTGGCCCAAAGGAAAGTTAATATTTGGTTGGATTTAAAGTGACACATATGGTAATAACATGTGACAATTATAAGGTATTTATTTTATGTGAGCATTACATTAGTCCAAAGATTAGTCTTTTGTTTGACATAGCTTATTGTCAATGTTTGATTACTGCAACAAGAGTACCTTTCACTGTTAATATATTGTCCAAAGACTCGATATTGTCGTAGTGTTTGGTATCTTGTGATGAGAATTAACCATAATTTTGAATTTTTTATTTACTTAAGATGTGACCTTCAGTTTTATTTATATTTTGTTATATATTCAATTTATTTATTTATTTATTGCTACCACAATATCTTCTCTATAGAAAAATGCATTTAGAAAAGTGAATATGAAAGAATGAAAAAATGCACTTACATAAGGGATTTTGAGAGGTGAAATTTGTTTAAATTGTATAAGTCTAGTGATCACGAAACACAACATTTTACAAGCCTTTAGGGGCACATAATCTGAAAAGATTACTAAGGCTAATGGTTTTCTTGACGAAATTGAGAAATATTTTTCCAAAAACAATAAGGTTTAAATGATATCACTTTTGACTTCTTTGATGTCTATAAAGTATAAGGGTCAAGGAAATGTGAGGGAGTACATTATGAATATGTTTCGTATTGTTTCAATACTTAAGACACTTAAGATCGAGTTTTTCTGAAGAATTACTTATTTTTCCATGAGCACACTACTCATGTGGAAGCAATATCATTTAAGGATATTTGATTTTAGTGAGAGTTTGTAATTTTAATGCTCGTTTATTATAACACAACTTTAGTTTAAGGATATTTATTTTAAAACTATTTTCTGTAGAAATAAAGTTTGTTTTGGTTTATCCACTCTGGTTTTGGTAAATTTTGATCTCACTAATGTTTAAAGAGGACCAGCTGGAAATAGACATGCGTGGTTTACATTGCATGTAATTTCCATGCTAAGCTCTATGATTGATCTATGTCGTTTGACTGTATTTGTATACGTGATCATTGATGGGTCTAGTCATGATAAATATGACAAAGGTCGCTTTGATCCTATATGGATATAGTTGATGGACAAGATTGTTATAGAATGCCTATTGTATGATAACAAATTTTTAGCTCATAAGGTTATACATTTATTATGAAACATATGTTGCTTAAGTGGGAGATTGTTGGATTAAAATCCATAATTATGGACACATATTTATAATGTATATTGTTATAATAAAATATGACATAAATTAAGTGACTAATGATGTTATAAAGTCATAAGGTATTTGAAGTGCCATTGAAATAAAAGTGTAGATACTTTTAAAGTTGTATTTATAATTCGATGAGGGACAGAGTTATAAGTATAAACAATAATTAATTCTTAAATCAACTATATGAAGGGGTTATGGTCCCCAAGAAATATACAATCTCATATTTACTCTTATCCCCATCAGAGAGTTTATACTTACGGGAACTCTATCTTATTGGAAGATCGTAATGAAAGAAAGATCAAAGATTTCAACTTATCAATTAATTCAGGTACGCTTTCGCATCTAGTATTTATTTTATTCTTAATGATTTGATATGATTAGATCCCGGTTAATTTCATATTTATCATGATTTAGTTCTAACAATTTTCTCTTGGTTTGAGTTAAGCTTGGTGAACACAAAAAGTGGGAGGTGGTGATAGTTTTCAAGTGATGAGGGTTGGTTTAATGATGTTTATTAAGTGAAGGTTTAATGATATGATTTTTGGTATTTTGATTTAGTTTTGATTTAAGATAAAATTTATTAAATGATCTCATTGATAAAAGTAAGGTTATTTTTTTTAGAGGTTATGCGTTTAAACAATTATATATGTTTTTGAATAGATACTACTCAGTAATCACTCTGGACGGTTAAAAAAGTTTTGATTCAAGATAAGTTATTACTTAATAAATTAAAATTATATATAATGTTATTTTTTTTTCATATTTTTTATGATACAATTCATAAGGCATGGGACCACCTCTGTTTATCAATGTTGTCAAGTTCTTTCCCACTTCTCAATGTACATCGCCTCTTTTAATCAAATGTTACGTCAATGGGGCGTTCATCACGTTTACAAATCCAATGAACTATGAACACTGTAATCTCTAATTCTATAGAGTGTTAACTCCAATGGGTTCTTGATCTTATCATTGCCAAAAATTTAAAAGAAGGGTTCTTTGATTTTAAATATGAACCATTCCTAGAATGCAAGTTTTGTTGATTGACACTGCAATTTATTGGCCTGCAAAGTTCCATTAATGTAAATCCAGTGACTCAAAAGTGCTGTTGTCTGCTGGCCTGCAATTTATTTCCCCCCTCAACTGATTCAAATTCTGTGCAGAAAGCAGGCAGCTAATGTTTTATTTATTTATTTATTTTTGAATAAGAAATTAGAATTTGAAAAGGGGCATGCTTCGTACTAGCTAAGGCTTGACTCGAGTTTAGGAATCTAAAGTTTTGGTTTTTGGGAGCTGTCTTGCCCTGTTACGCTTCTATTCTATCATGTAATTTGCATTTTGCTTTTGGGCCAAATGATGTTGTTAAGGATGGACCTGAACCTGACAGGTTTCGACCTAACTCAACTAGATCAGGTTTTTTTTTATAAAAAAAATCGAGTTCGGGTCGTGTTTTTTTAAAGGTGGTATTATGGTCGGATCGGATTCGGTTTAGGGTGAAAAATATCTGACCTAAACCGACCTAGGAAAAAATAATTTTACATTATACATTTAGGAATAATTACAATAATACCCCTCTATATATTATTTTTTAATTAAATCACTGTTTTTATTGAATAAAAATAATATTTTTTATTATTTCGGGTCGGGTCGGGTTCGGATTTTATTTTAAAAAGTCGGATCGGATTTGAGTCAGGTGGAGGATATATATATTATGCGGGTCGGATTTTAAGTAAGGAGTCGTTGATCTCGGGTCAAGTCGGATGAACCAAAAGTCCGACCCATGCTCATTCCTAGGTATTGTTCCTTATTTTTAGAACAACTATTAACTACCAAGTATCAACTAATTTTCATTTCTAGAGGTTTTTTTATCTCTCTTTGGCTTGTTAGTTATTATCAGTTTATACTATTTTACCCCATTATTTCATATTTATAATATTACATATCATATATATAAATATATAAAATAAAGTATTTATATATATATATATATATATTATTAAATTATTGATGGAGTTTACTATTATTTGATTATATAGTATGTAAACAAAAATTGATAAAATTATACAAATATAATTTATACCGAGGAGAAATAACTTGTTTTTAAATGCAACAAAAAGAATTAACAATGGTTAAGTATACCATTGCACTCTTAATGATAAATTTAATATTTTTTATTAATTTAGAATGATTATAAATAGTAGAATATATCATTTAGAAATGAATTCAAATATTCTACGTCTCGAATATAAAATCTTTAGAAAAAATAAAAATCTTTTAATTTCAGCCTCCTAACAATAGATTTAAATTATAGTTTCAGTGGCAAAATTCTCAAGTTTTAAATACGAATGGTGAAACATACATGGAAAGTGGCACTTTTCTAAAATAATAATAAAAAATGATATTAATACGTGGAAAGTTGTATGAGGCTTAGGTGGCGAGGTCAACTTAACATTCAGTTCAAACTTAAACTGCATTTGTTTCCCATCTCCATTCATTTTGCCATTTCCCTTTTCTTTCTCCATTTTCTGTCTTTCACTTGCTTCCCCTCTCCCATCAATCTGTTCCCTTGGATTTGATTCGTGGAGACAGGCGATGAAGCCTGTGGATCTCACTCTACGGTTAACAGCGTCGACGGCAACCACAAGTGCGTGAAGCAAATCTTTGAAAGAAAAGCCGAGAACCCCGATATCCTAGGAAAAAGGGAAAAAAACGATTTCAATCTTTGTTGCTTTTTAATTCTCACGGCGGTGGACGAAAATGAGCGCCTCGAGGTTCATAAAGTGCGTCACTGTCGGCGATGGTGCTGTCGGAAAGACCTGCTTGCTGATTTCCTACACCAGCAACACTTTCCCTACGGTGAGCCTTTTCCATTATCTTTCCTTTATTTTCGGATCTTTGATGAAAGATGATCGCATGAATTATCAGCATCTCTTTCTTATGTTCTGGTTGGTTCTCAGATGGATGAAGAAAATAGGAATGTATTTTTTTTCTTTTGAGAAAAAACATAACCTGAATATATATGTAATTTGCTCTCGAATAAATGATAGAAGAATTGTTTATAATTGTTGATATTCGAGTGGGCTTCGTTTTATATTTCTATTAGGTTGAAATTGCTATGAATTTTTTTTCTTCATAAATGCCGTTAAGATTGGGCTTAACGTTATACAATGTAGACAGATCAGCTGCAATTAGATCTTTTCATGGTTAATTGGAACCAAAATTGGGGCTATCGCACTATGTCAGGGTCAGATCATCTTTAATATCGCTTTTCTTATTGGTAACTGTTTGCTTTTACAATTGCTATGGTAACAGGACTATGTCCCAACTGTTTTCGACAATTTCAGTGCAAATGTTGTCGTGGATGGCAGCACTGTCAACTTAGGTTTATGGGATACTGCTGGTAATTTGGAAATGGCTTCTGAAATTCCTTTTTCTATTAGTAAATACGAGTTCCTTCTAGCTTTTGGTTTGAAGTTATTGCCTTGGAACAGGTCAAGAGGATTACAATAGATTACGACCACTGAGCTATCGTGGGGCCGATGTCTTTATTCTTGCATTTTCTCTCATCAGCAAGGCCAGTTATGAAAATGTTGCCAAGAAGGTTTTACCTTTGAATAATATTGTCTTTAGGATAATATAACTTTGTTCAGTATAAGATGAGTTGTTCTTAAAGTCTTGTACTATCTGATCATGTGTTTCTTGCTTTCCGTTTCAGTGGATTCCTGAACTAAAGCATTATGCACCTGGTGTTCCGATAGTTCTTGTCGGAACTAAGCTTGGTATTATACTTTATCCCCAGATAATGATATGCTTGCCATGGTTGTCCTAGTGAATTGTTATTGAGTTGATTCTCCAAGCGGCTGAAAATTTTCTGAAATACAAAGAGTCATTTTATACCAATTTTTCTTATGATCTCTACTCTTTGCTGCTGCAGATCTCCGTGATGATCATAATTTCTTAACAGACCATCCTAACGCAGTGCCCATTTCTGCAGCTCAAGTAGTTATTTTCAGATTATTATTGTTATTTATATTCTTTCACGGAGAATATGCTCCTCTTATTTTAAAAATATTTGTCTTGCATAACTTCTTTTTCTTAAGGGAGAGGAATTAAAGAAACAAATTGGGGCTCCTGCATACATAGAGTGTAGCTCAAAGACCCAGCAGGTTAAATGCTGTCTACGCATTCTTTATAATTTTGAACTCAAAATTTGTGTTGAATTCTAATCAAATCTCATGCAATGGCGTTAATGCAGAATGTGAAGGGAGTCTTTGATGCAGCCATTAAGGTAGTGCTCCAACCTCCGAATAAAAACAAGAAGAAAAAGTCAGGTGGTTGCTCGATATTGTGAACAGTCAAGTCCAAGAAAGATGGATCCACCTGCCATTTTTGTTTTCTAATTCAAGGAAACAGCAAGCCATCATGTTTAGTCTCAAGTCGCAACCCGACTTTCTAAGGGTTTCTGTGAAAGCATCAGGTGATTTTGTTTCGTGTTTTACTCGGTATAATTATGATGACAAGCATTCCTTGTTAATATGCTCGTCTCTTCTGCTTTTCATGTTTAAACTTTTTTTTGGCATTATGTTTATTTTTAAAGCATTTTATTTAATTCTGAATATTATTAATTCCTTGAGTCAGAGAATTTAGATTCAGTGTCTTGTGATTTTTAATATACAGAGCTCCGTTCACCTTTTATACCCCTGACCCATGTCACTGAATGTTTATGAATGGAAAATACGATTGCATCCATGAAAGTTCTGCCTGCTTTTTTGTTCAAATTTGTATCGTAAAAGCTCTCCGTTGGAACGAGACTTGTTAGACAAATAAGGTTGCGACATCCATAAAACAAATGAAAATAAATCATTCTGTTTCTCAAGCTACCTCAAAATGATTAAAATTTACCTTTTCAGTTTGTATTCAAAATTAAATAGTACATATATCTTTAAAAAAAAACTTTCACCTTTTTCACAACTTCGAACATGGTAACTAGCAATAGAATTTCAGAACCCTTAAACAAATTAAAGCACCCCCAACTCAAACCATCATCTAATAAAAAAGATGCTTGCCCCCCAAAATTCTTTACATTCCCCAAAATTTACAATTCAACGGATTCGAATTTCTCACCCATTATACCTCCTTTCTGTTTCTGGAATTGAATGTAACGCAAGGTGCTGGCAAGAAAGGCATCTGAATAGCTATTTGGGATTGCAGAATCACCCTGCATTTCTGTATTGATTAATTCTTTCAGGTGTTGGATCGCCGCAGCGGTGATTTGTTGATTTCCCTTTTCGAAAAAATAGAGGTACCTGAACCAAGTCACCAAAACACATGTTCATAGCGTACAATGTAGGCTGGTTAGTATGACAAAGGTTCAAGCTTGTAGCTCTAAGCACTGACTTGTTCAATATCTCGACAAAGAGAGTGACTGGTCCACTGCTACCTCGTGCAACATTAGCCCTTTGCTGAGCAGCATTTGCTATCCTCAATGCTCGTTTTAGGCACAGCAGGACCCTGCAATCTCGCCTTAAATTTTTAGTTCTAAATATTGAAAGTAGCTGTTCTAAAAAAAAAAGGTAATAAATAAACCTGAAGGGCTAGGGATTATTAAAGAAGCAATTCACAATGTTTTGAAAGTTTTTAAGCTCAAAAGGCTATGTTTTGAGGTCAAACCTCTCGCCATCCTTAATGCCGTCCTCATCATCAACCCAAAAAAGATGTGAACAAGTGTAAACAGCTCTGCACTGATCAGGCTTCTTCAATAGCCGAGCCGAATACTGACCGAAGTAGCACATATTTAAGTATAGTGTAAACAGATCAATAAAGCACCATAATCGGAGATGAGGTAAGCAGCAATATTACTCCTGTGGCCTTGTGTGTCAAAATATCTCGGTTCTCAACACCAAATACAGTCATCCTCTGGAGAGCCCCGATTATCAGATGAATTGCAGTCAAATGAGCTTTGGAGTTCTAAGAGCAACAAACATTCAACACAAATTAGAAGGCAAGAATGTGACTGATTTCAAGGCTTTTTTTTATTGAAAAATTTAGCTGAAGACTCGGCAATTACCGCAATTTCTTCTTCATACAATACAAACGTCTGAGCGAAAAATTCATAAGCAACATGCTCAAGACCACAGTCATTAGCTGCCTGATAGTCAGCAGGAAACAGACAAAGCACAAAGTTAGAAGGTTCAAACAAAGTTAAGGTTTTCATTCAAAACAAAAAAGTATGCAATACTGTTCATGATACATGAATTGTCACTATCATAACTCATGATAGTAGAATGCCATTAAACTTAAGTCATAACAGTGGAATATTAACAATGAGAACACCCTATTAGAATCCAAAACAAAAATACTGATCCATAATCGTAGAATCAAGAAAAAAACTGAAGGTTGTCAATCACGATACTAAAGATTGTCATAAATAAAGCTGATTGTTCTTCTATGCTTCCTGGCTCCATCATATATCTCTTACTTCTTGGAAGCAGGAGTCATTTACATCAGTGTCTTTTGCATAATTCCAACCAGAAAAATGGCCTGTTGTCGCTATTAAGATGTAATTTTAATATCATCCAAAGGAATTCTTGGGGTTCCATCAATTATTTAATGAAACACTTTATGCCGTGATCAAGACCCAAGATTACCTCTGCACATTGTAGATACAACCTTAAGGCAAGTTCAGGTGATGGAACTGCTGAAAGTGCTTCGATAATCTGAAGAAAGAGCTATTAGAGTTATTTTTCAGGATAATATAGACGTGTGTATATAAAAATAGTGCCCAAACTATACATCTTTTCTCATTTAGGTGCCTAAACTTTTTTTGTCAATTTGGGTGCCTAAACGTTATCATTTTAAGTTACTGGTCCGTCACGGCCATTTAAAAAATCCGTTATTTAACATGTGTATGCTTATATTTTTTCTTGAAATTTTTATTTTAAAAATCTTTAAATTATAATTATTATTTTATAAAAACCCTAACAAAAATTAAAGTTTAAAAAAAACCCAAAATTTTAAAATCCCTAATCCCTCAACTCCTGCCGTCAACCATCTCCGACCACCCATCCATTGAGCCCACCCACCCAAATTTTTAAAATCCCTAATCCCTCAACTCCTACCGTCAACCATCTCCGACCACCCATCCATTGATCTCACCCACTAATTCTAAAACATTTGGGTTGTTTTTGAGATTTTATGAAAATTTTAGTGTTTTTCTAAATAATAATACTTTTTAGTTTTTTTTAAAAATAAAATTTTTAAAAAATATAAACACAACATTTGTCAGATAATAGACTTTTTTAACGTTTGTTACGGCCGAAGCACCTAAAATGATAACGTTTGTAAAATTAGGCATCTATATTTGACCGGAAAAAAAATTGGACACCTAAATGAGAAAAAATATATAGTTTGGACATTTTTTTGTATTAAGCCAAATATAAACGCTTCATAAAAAGTGATAGATTCGTAAAAAAAGAGAAACTTGACTCAAGCTTGGTTTTAAAATGTGGGATGCGCTCTAATGCGTTTAGTGTCCCGGGAGCCGATGCGTGATGCGCTCGCATCATGAACCCGATGTGCCAATTTTCACAAAAAAATACTTTTGAACTAATTTTATATCTTGTAAATACTTATATATAAAAAATACTTCAATTAATACCAAAAGTAGTTTAATAGTACTTCATAAATGTTCATCCCTACCCTCCCCTTCTCTTTCCCACCGTCAATTTTTTTTAAGGATTTAGGGGTTTGAAGTAATGGTAAGACGATAATCAATCAATGATTGAATGTCGATAAGTGACATTTCAACAACGGAGATAATGACATGAGATAATCAACCACGGTTGAAAATGTATTTGAAATTAAATATTTTAGGGTTTTTAAATTTTTCTTTATGATATAAACGAAATTTGTTATTTTTTAAAAATAAATATAATTTTAAGTTTTTTATTTTATAATATTTTTTTTAAAATTTATGAGTATAATAAGTATCACTTAAATGTCAAATTTAATACAAACAATAAAAATTGTAGCTTTAAAAAGTAGACACATATTTTAATAAAAAAAATTAAATATCTAAAATTAATTTTAAATATACTTTGACACTTATTTGTATTAAGCATATAAAATATAATAACACTAATACACAGTTTCTATCAAACCAAACAGTTCCTTCTCGATTTTCTTGCCCTTGAACTCCATTCCCAAAGTCCCTAAATTCTCAAAGCCCCCATAATAGAATGATACCAACAATTCCATTTTATAATAATCAAATTGTGTGTGCTACCAAACTGAACCCATAATTAAAAAATTAAAAAATAAAAGAAATCAAATGTGTTGTATTTATTTTAAAAAGTTGTGAATGGTGTATGAGAATTTTGTTTGGTTGATTTGATTTTGATTCAACACTAATACGCTCCATCAATATACACCGACGCACACAAAGGTACCACTGTTTTTCTCTCTCTTCTTTCCTACTTTTTCATTATGCTATAACCCGAATACTCCCTGTCGGCAAAGATTCAATCTTTGTAGGGCGGTATATGAATTGAACGTTCAGTGAACCGTTCATGAATTGTGCGATAAAAAGTTCGTTTATGTGTTTATTTATTAAATAAACGAACATGAATAAGATTTTGTGTTTGTTTAATTAAATGAACGAACATGAACATAAGTCTCGTTCGTTCATTTACGTTCATGAACGTTCGATTATGTTCATTTATTTATGTTTAACTCAATCTTCTTAAATCAATTTTGGTGACCAATTTGTAAGTATCTTAAAAATATTAATTAATCTGATATTCTGATGACCAATTCTATAATTAATCCAATTTTATTTGGAGATTAAATCCAATATGTTAACCCGTGAGACACCTCACACTATATTCATTTTCCCCCTTTTCCCCAAACCCTGGTTTCACTAAAGAGCGGAGACGATCGCTGAAAGCTTCAAAACAAGTTATATTATAATGCAATCTAAAATTTTACAGGTATGTTTTCATCTCTTTTTCTGTTTTATTTGGTTTAATAGTTGATATGTAAAGTTATTGTAGGTATCTTCATATCTAAAATCAAAAAACATCATACTTCTTTCTAGAAATAGATGAGAAGATAAAGGTAACAATCGGAAGTATATGAGCATCAGTAAAGAAAAAAATATATAGAATTTTTCAGAAAACAAAATAAAAGTTTCTATGCAATTTCTGTAAAAGAGTATAATAGCGAAGTAATGGATTTTTCAGGAAGAACTCATTAAAATTTTGTTCATAGTTCTTGTGTGGCCTTTAGTTGTGGAATAGACTTTAGGTACGTTAAAATTTTGAATAGTGGTTTAGCAATAATATCAGTTACGATATGTAGCATCGAAGGGATTTCGGATCTATGTTATTGTCTTGTAGTCCAATTTATACCGTTCGAAATCTTCATGCTGTTAAATTTTCTACTTTGCCAACGGAAAGTACCATTATTAACAAACCTCACTAAAGTCTGACATTAATGTCACAAAACTTTTAGCCGACGAATTTATTAAAATAACGAATAGAAAATGATTGCTCATAGTAATCATGGACCACTAAGATAAATATTATATCGTTAAATTAAAGTCGTGTGAATCATTTAATATCTTTAAAAGATCGATCGAAATATTTGATATGTTCAAACATTTCATCATTGC